TTTTAATGCTTCCTTTGTGTCTGAGGACTTTAAGAATTGCTTTAACTTTAGGGCTAGTTAGACAATTCTTAGGCATTGCTATCCTCAAAGAGTTGGAGGGTACTCAATCAATTCAATCTTTATTATGATTATAGACCAGCATCCCCGAAGACAGTCATTTGTGAGAAGCTGCTCCAACTGTACATGAAGATGCCTATACATGAAAGCATCTTCCTCATTTTCATTGGTTCTCCACTGGGAGCTCCTGAGGACAAAAAAGAGGCAACAAGTGGAAGGGCTCTTGAGTTATGGCATCTCATTGTAAAAGGTTTTGCTTTCCCATGGGGACTTTTAGTATCACTCACAGAAGACATATCCTCTTAATATTTTAAAACTGCTCTAGACTGATCATTGCAGCTCACGTTTCATCTGATGTCAGGACCGAAATCAAGAAAGATGTGGTGATTCTTTCAAGTGGAGTTCTTTATTGTTTCACATCTAGGAAAAAAAAATCTTGACAGACTGAGCACTCTGCTATCTACATTTACATATAGACTGTGAATTCTCACACCTGATAGTATTTCTTTGATTGAGTTGTCTCTTACTCCTCTTCAGTGTACTCCTTCCTTTCTGGGAATCCACTTCCTCACTACATTCAATTACATCTGATATGTTTTTATATACAACTTTTTAAAAAAAGGTTATCAAGTATCCAATCCAGAGATGGGATTCAATTTTTTTTAACTACCGGTTCTGTGGGCGTGGCTTGGTGGGCGTGGCAGGGGAAGGATACTGCAAAATCCCCATTCCCTCCCCACTCCTGGGGGAAGGTTACTGCAAAATCCCATTCTCTCCACACCCCACTAACCTGCTTTCCAGCTCCGTTCTCCTGTGCAGGGCAACAAAAGAAGACCCAGCCTATCAGCTGGGACTCGGGAGGCAGAGAATAGATGGGGGTGGGGCCAGTCACAGGTGGTCTTTGCCAGTTCTCCAAACTACTCAAAATTTCCACTACCAGTTCTCCAGAACTGGCCAGAACCTGTTGAATACCACCTCTGATCCAGTCACATATTATGCAGGCAAGTGATAACTGGTTGCTGAAAAGAAAATTAGGATTTATTTAAGAAATAAAACAAGATCTCATCTCACTGGAGGGGGCCAAACTAGAACTAAGGAGAAATTTATTGATAGAACAATTGATCAGTGGAACAACTTGCCTCTAGAAGCTGTGGGTGCTCCAATATTGAAGGTTTTTAAAAAGAGATTGGACAACCATTTGCCTGAAATGATATAGTTTCCTGCTTGAGCAGGGGTTGGACTAGAAGACCACCAAGGTCCCTTCCAATTTTGTTATTCTGTTGTACATATGACTGATACTAAATTGGTGTATGTGTGTGTACACATTTGAATATTATATTCTGTGGTATCCATAGGATATAGTTTAAAAAGTCAAATGGCATCTGCAATGCACATACAAACAGGTGGAACTTTAAGCTTAATGTTGTGGCCTTCATTTAGGATTTCTCTTACCTTGTGCTTTTTAAAAATGCAACTGGCTCAGGTTACCGATTAGTCTGAAGTATAATTCTGCTTTTAACATATAAACAAAAATGTTTTTTATCTAAAGAATAAATAATACTTTTACTCTCTCTGTCTAAACTTGAAATAGTTCTTAACTGGAGAGGCTCTGAAACCATTTCAATAGTATTGCTTCCCATGTATTTGAGGCATGCAATTGATAGCCAGTTTTCAGGTCCTGGAAATATTTTTTGTTTTATGAGGTACAGTTAAATAGAGTAAAATAGGCATCACTTAGAGGCACAATGCACATGAATATTATGCAGATTTTATACACTATTCAGGAGATAAAAAATACCCAAAATACATTTCAGTAGCTAGACATTTTTCTCTTTTTATCTCATGCTTTTGTATGTTATTTAATTCCAAGGCAGCTCTACTACATATCTGCAGCACCTCAAAGGGAGTTAAAAATAGCCTGACAGAAAGCAACTTGTGTAATGGGTTTTCTATCTTTAACTATTTCATTTCAGGTAATATGAAATAGGCCAGTTTATGCTGAATTATGCATAAAGCCATCCTGATACTTAATTTCCCACTGTTAATTTCTTCATTGTCTAGCACTGAAGGGGACTTGGGCAACTTTAATGGCTGAAGCCCTTTGTTATAAATACAGATGGAAACCTATTACTTGATTGTGACTTTGAACCATGAGCACATATTTTCCAAATGATTACATCCTAAACTTTGAAAACTGCTGTTCTTTTCCCTTGTGCTGGCAATATAGAGACTTAAGTTCTACTTCCAGGCCAAAAGTACCAGAACAAAGCAACTCTTCAAGTGTATTAACCACCAGAAGAAAAATAATTTTATTTTACTTGCTTTATATTTTTCAGGAATATGTAATATACAAATGCGAAAACCCACATGATTAAAACCTAATTCATAACCTAATAGATCCCAAGTAGTAAAATAATTCTGAAACAATAATTTAAAACACCTACTTGAAAAGATATGGTCTTACTTCCTTTGGTGAAGGATTAAGCTCAGCATGGTAGGAAAGATGTATTTCTATTGACAGGAGAAAGGCACAATGTCGATTGCTTAACAGCTGGATTTTAACAGGAAGGGTAAAGAATCATAGTGTTTGAGAGGGTCTTTAAATCTAAGCTCCTGAAGATTACAAGAAATCAAATTGAAGCATTCTGTGCAGATGGCTATCATAATCTCCAAGTATTTCATAAACAGAAGATTACCATTTCCCCGTGGAAGTGCTACTGTCAAAATATGGTTAGGAAGAATTCAAGAGGAATCTTCATTTCTACAATTGAAAGCCATGATTCTGTGTCCTGTATGAGACTGCAAGTCATGATCTTCTGTGAGGTATCCTTTCAGGACTCTCATATCTCCCCTAATTTTCTCAAGACCAAAATTACTCAATTTCCTCAATCTCTCTTCATAGAAATTCACTTCCACCTCTTTTATCATCCTTGTTGCCATGTTCTGAACATGTTTCGATTTCTTTTGATTCCATTTTTAAAACTGTGGTACTGGACAGGTTCATATGTCTATTTCCCAACTGCTGTGGACCGACCCACTGCTCAACATTATGTTTGACCAATGTAATGGGAAATTATATGTCTGTTGTGGCAATCTAAAAGTGCAGTTGTCTTCCTTGCACACTGCTAGCTCATAGTCAATTTGCAACCCAAGATTATCCAACTCCTTTATCTATATTGTTGCCAAGCCAGCTATCCTGCATCTTATATTTGCATATTTTTGTTCTCCAGATGAAGAACTTTATAGCTGCAATTTACCTACCTTTATAGCTGCAATTTACCTGCAATTTACATGTGTTACTTTTAATTTCTCTAACTTCTCAAAACCTGATTTGTTGTTCCATCTGTCTTCCTAGATATTGCTATCCCACCCAACTTTATCTCACCTGCAAGTTGGATAAACATTGCTTCCATCTCTTCATCCAAGAGTTTGATAAAAATATTGTAGAGGTCCTGGGGTTGGTCCTTGTGGTACTCCATTGGAGGACTTTGTCATATTTGATGACTAACCATTATAAAGCAGTGAGTATTTAAAATTCTGTGTTAGATCTTAAAAGTTGATAGTGGCAATGAGAATTTATTTAATTCCCACACTGTGGAATTCCAGGTGTATTTTCTTAAAAAAACAAGTAGCATACAGCTCTAAGAGGAAATTATGAAATTAGGTCTTGACTACATTCCTAATTTGAGAAGGGCTATTCTGTGCATACCAAATCCGGCTTGTACACAGAGCTTAGCTTTGATTCTATAGTAGCCTAAATAATGAAGGAATCTTTTGAAAACAGCACTCGTTTATATTTTGTCCTAATCAGTTCTTCAGTGCTTTTACTTAAGTCAGGTTGAGTGAGGTGTTTGGTGTGAAGCCATGTTAAGGCCAGATTGTTTTCCCCCCCAAATTGGAACATAGAATACTATCTAGAATGAACAATGGTTTTTCTTAAGAACAAAACCATCAACAAAATTGAAATAGTACCAGAATGTTAGAGTACATTGTCTCACTATTAAAACCAGACATGCATATGCATTGTAATGAGGGGTGGGATTCAACCGGTGTTACTACTGGTTTGGTACTTACGTATTGCGCACGTTTTACATGCGTGCACATGTAATGCGACGAAAGCTGTGCCTCCCAGACAGCTGATAAGCGCTGCGCGCGGGTGCGCAGCATTTGAAAAAAGCCTTTTTTACTGATTTTCAGCCTCAGCTATGCCACGCAAAGCAGCTGAGGTTGAAAAAGTAGGAAATAAAGGTCAGGTAAGAGCCCAGGCGGGTGGGTGGGCCAAACAGCAGCAGACACAGAACCGGTTCGGTGTCTGCTGCTCTTCAGAGCTACCGATTCTACAGAGCCAGGCAGAAGCGGTAGCATCCCACCCCTGATTGTAATATAGGAGAACAACAGCCATGGTCTTTTTCCATGTGGGATTTGCTATAATTTGCTATAAATATTTTGTTTAGAACTGGTTATAAAAACTAGGGCAGGCAGGGGCTGGAAATTACCAAAAACTGGCTTCCTGCAGACTGAACTATCTTGTTAAATATGTAGCCCAGCATTATGTTTTTTTAAAAGTATATGTGAATGAATGAAAATACACCAATAAATATGTAACAGTGGCCAGCCATTTTTCCTGATTATATGGGAACGTTGCTATAATTGTCTTCTATTGTTGATACATTTTCATAAATAGCATATGCTATTTTCTGGAATTTCTGGAGTTTATGTTATTGTCCAACAATCCAAAAACTCTTGTGTAGGGCCATTATAAGTTTGCATATGTATCCGAGTTACAAAGTACTTAGAAATTTCATTGGCTTCATAAAACTTCTCTACTTTCCAATTTTCCCTTGCTAATTTTTGGAATAATGATTATGTTCAACATTTCAAACCACACTTGATTACATTTTAATGGGCAATGCTCTACCATTTGATCATGAACAAGATGCACTCATGTACTTCAAGCCATTTTTATTAGAAGTCTCTTCAAGGAAAAAGAAACACAGAGATCCTTTGCAAGTAAGAATTCAGAGTCAATTACCTGAAAACAGGTATGAAAAACATATTCTATTAAAATCAGATACAGGATAGAAACAGTGCATTTTTTTAAAATACCACCAGTGATAGACAAGTCTTCCATCATAAATGGCATCAAAATCATTACTGATTTCACAGCAAAGCTGCATGCACATTTAGTTTATAGTAAAAAGCCTTGGAAGTATCAAGCTTTTGCCATGAAAGTTGCAATAATACAGGTATGCAGCACAAAGATGTTCCTTTTGCCATCCTATTGATATTTCTCCATATTAAACATATATATATATACACTTTAAAAATTTGGCTGGTAAACCATAATATTATTCATAAAACTTTTACTTCAGTTGCTAATTTAGCAGAAATGCACTATTCAAGTGTGCTTATACTTTGGAGGAGAAACTAACAAAATAAGGTGATTTTATTGGTGGAAAAGGGATGAGTTGATTAACATGATTTTTTTCCCTTAAAAAAAAATCAGCAATAAAATGGCTCTGTACAAAAAAGAGGAAATATATGTACAAATGCTACAAGCCTACAAATTTATGAGATCTGTCCTTTACGACAATGAAATGCAGTAAAAGATGTTTTGCCTTCTGTAAGGTGCCAGCAAAACCAAACCTGGACTGCTTTACATAACATCATACATATGTTAAGTCCTGTGTTTTTATCACCTGCTACTGCTATCTATATTTGCACACACACACACACACACACAAATATTGCCTTCAATATTTTATACTGTTCCAAAAATGAAACTCCATCCACATGTACTAATTTTCCTTTTTTACGTCCTTGTTTTAATGCTATGTTGCTAAAAAGAAAATACAGTTCCGGTCAACTAGCCAAAAAATAGCATCATATAATACTTTGTGTAGATTTCCCCAACTCTACTGTGACTGTGCTACAATCAAACAGAATATTAACATTGCTCTTTCATTACTGAATTTTCATGTAATAAATGAATTAGACTTTACATACTCTATTGCACTTCAGCACATTTTTATAAAGCAGATATTCATTGTTAGTTTGCTTCATAATGATTCATGATTTTCCAGTATTTTTGAACTTTCCTAATGTCAAATAGCAGACATAATTTCCTTTCTATGAGTTCTAGGAGTTAAAAATAGGTGTAAGTACAGGATACAGGCCTACTGTACTTACACATATGATAGTGCTCCCTCTTTTCCTCTAGATAGATATGTATGTTGTAACTACATTAGAATCATCCATTTCATCCTGTAAGAGACATGCACACACGTCTCTCCACTTAATTTAAGACATTAACTCCATGAACATAGAAAGTACAACCAACCCGAGCACATATCAATAACACATTTTCCCTATTGAGACATCACTGTGTTGGGAGCTTCTGATTCTTCCTACAAAGAGATGCAAGTTTTTGTACTTTATATATTAATATATGCAGGTGCGGGAAATCTGACTCATGCTTCTGTACTTACTAGTTCATGTCTAAAGCTCTTACTGTTTTGAAAAAAAAATATTTTAACCAATTTATGACCTTATTGGCTCAATTTTAATAAAATGTATTATGAGTTACAACTGGAAATCATGGCTTATGAAGTATTCTAGTATCAATACTCCTTTAGATTGTTTCTGCTTAAATTTTTACAGGCATTTTGCAGATATTGCAATATACATTTGGAAAAAAAAATCTGTTTATACTACTAGTTGTATCTTGCAAATTGGTAAAAGAAGAGGCAAACTTGTGACACGGCAAACTGATAGCAGCATACATTTGCTGAGCTACAAACGTGATAACTCAAAAAAAAAAAGGAAACCCATTAAAATGTAGTAAATTGCAATCTGTTCTATATATTAGGTGATAATAGATATTTTTTTCATAAGTATTCTATTGCAATTTCTCCCAAATAATTGGTAACATTTTGAAGTGCCATGCTATTTCTTTCATTAAGCTTTTTATATGCACTTTCCAAATTGGCATTGCCAGACAAAAAGTAAAGGCGTAAAAAGATGTATTTTGCATAGAACTAATTCCTCTTGTTTCACAAAAGCTCAGGGATTCCATTTTAGCTGTTGAATAATACTGTTGGCTGGCAGGTGGGATGAAGATGGTGAAGATGAGCAGCATGATTTCTACCTGGATTTGCAAAGCAGGAAAACTGAAGGCTGGTGGAGGATGTTTTCTAGCACTTTTTATGCAGATGTGTGGCAGAGATGCAGCATAAATAAGAAAGGAACAAAATCAAACAATCATTTCACAGCCTCTTGACATAGTTTCCAGGGAAAGTACCAAAAAATTTTGTTCTTCTGGATGTTCCTGAAAGTAGAAGTAATAAATGAAACATGGCAGCAAGAATGACATATTCATGCTCTAAAGACAGGCTTTACATTTCATTTTAGGATTGTTCATGAATTTATTTAATACCACCCCAATAGGAAAATACAGACTATAGCCGTAAGTTATAATACTGTAACTATAAAAATGTAATCATAGTAGATAATGTAATATAGCATAATAGATTTTACTGAGTAACTCCTACTGCTGAAAAGACAAATCAAAGTTAAACATTAAAATATATCTTGTCTGTTTAGCAGTTATACCAAAGAAAACTTAATTATGTAATGTTTTTTGAATAGGGGCTTGTAAGGAAGTAGCAGTCAAATTACAATGTCAAATATTAGGCTTCAATAAATATTGAATCTATCATTCATTTGCAAATAAAACAACATATCAAATGAATACTCTATTAAGTGTTTTCATTCCAACATAGCCGGGGGTTTTTTAATGCAGGCATTTTGCACATCAGATTCTATAGGAAAAAGGGAATCCCTAATCACCCTTTAGTATGAGAAAGTTCTCTTAACTTATGAGTATATCATGTGACAATGATACTTTCTCCATCAATTTTAATGGAGAAATTTACTATGTCAAGGTTTAGGACATGGTGATGGCAAACATTTGCAAGTATCATTATATGGTTACCTTTATAGTTCAGGAGATTGCTCACACATAAAAAGGAACATACCACGATATAGGCAGATCTCATGCAGTATGGATTCTTTGCTAATCAGTTCCTCATGCTTAGAACTGTGCACCACAAACATCATTTATTGCTGGATATTCTCTAGTATTAGAGTGTAGATCCAAATGGGTATGAAAGATGATACAACGATGTTTGATTTAGGGAGCGCACCAAAAGAAAAAGATTTGCTCTGATATAGAAATTATAATATTTGCAACAAGAGCTGGAAATCTTCCTGCAAATACATTGCAGAATAGCAAGGTAGGGGCGATTATATTACATGTGAAAGAATCAATGGCATACGACACAAGATTTTGGGGAACATCTGAAGAATGTTTTTTAGGGGCTGGCAAACTAGACACAATACATGCAATAATTCTGAATAAAAACTTGCCAGTTGTAATAAACCAGAGGGTTCCCTAATATGTTACCTCTTAAATACCCTGCTGGGTAGAAATTCTGCAGGGGTAATTCAGATTGAGAGCATCAGGCTAGGAAAGCCAAATGTTACTTATATATCCTACTGAAGGCACTACTAAAATTATGGAAAACATACCCACAAACCATCCATCATCACACTTTTCCATCACATCAATGACATCTCCCTCTCTCAGCTCCAATTCATCTTCGTTCCTAGGGGTATAGTTATACAGAACCTGAAACCTTAAACAGGACAAATGGATGCATTTAAAGAAAAAAAAAACATCTTGCATTTTCACTATGCTAAAGAGGTTGCTAAACATTTCTTTGAAGATAAAAATAAGTCAGGCTAAAACTGAAATCAGTGATATATAGAAAGACCTGTATTGAGTAATGCATGAACTATTGAAGCAGAATATTTTTATTTTAGTTCAAATAAGTGGGCTGTATATCCAAATATGTGTAGTTGCAATCATACTTAACTATTTGACACACTAGCAAAGCATACAACATTTAAGTGTACAAAAGATACATTTTAAACCATTTTTTAAAAAATTGTATGTTTGGGCAGCGCTTTGGATTCAGTTTCCAAAAGCTGGTTTGAAGCATACAGGAGCATGATCATAGGACTTGTCTACAATTTATTTAAGAAGTCACATCTTCCTTGGATCACATTGTAGCTGTGTGATGCAAAGGACCTTTGGAGAACTGAAATTTGGAATGCTTCACATCTCAGTATGGAAGAGTGGGAAGATAAATTTCAGTCCTATGAGCTAAATGGGAAGATAGCCTAGGAAATCTCAAAAGGGCTTCCCTAAATGTGGAACATAATATGCACTATATAGTTGTTCAATTTAGTGCAGATCTTCATATTCCCATGTGTAATCTTACAGTCTCTCAACCTTGCAGTACTACCACCCTTCCCAGTAGGGTGGCATTGCAAACTCTAACTTCCTTTACAATTTTCAGCAGCTCCAGCTAACACTGCTTATGGTGAGGGATGCTGGGAGCTGCATTTCACAATACCTGAACCTCTGAAGGGCTACAGCTGTCAAACTCCCGGCCCGCGGGCTGGATACGTCCCACACTGGCCATGCCCACGCCCAGTTTAGTGAAGAGGAAAAAAATTGCTATACGTCATGTGACAATGCCAATACGATACAAGTTTGACACCCCTGGGCTACAGCTTCGTTAGAATTATGACACAATCCTAAGTACTTGGAAAATATACTAAAAAGATCTCAGTGGTAATGATTCAATTACATTAGTTCTGTTCGTCTTCTGATTACTCCTCTTTCTTTGCAAATGATTATTTTATTGCTTTTTTAAATACAGTAACAAGACAGAGTATCTCCCATGAAGATACTGTATTTCCTGATAGAATTTAAAGTGTGTTATTTGGTAATGGGGAAATATGTCAGCTTTATTCCTACCTATTTAGCTCATTCGTTTCAGGGGTTACAGAATAATAGAGTTGGAAGAGATCTTGGAGGTCTTCTAGTCCAACCCTTTGCTTAAGCATGAAACCCTATTCCCGTTAGGGCAAACCTATGGCATGCGTGCTACAGGTGGCACGCAGAGCCATTTGTGCCAGCATGCAAGCTGCAGGCAAACTTACCTCACTGTGCATGTGCGCACCTCACAGCTGATTTTGGGCCAGTTTGAGGCCTTTTCTGGCCCCCCAAAGGCTTGAGGAAGGCTTCTGCAGGCTTTGCAGGCCGAAAACTAGCCCTGTTTTGTCACTTCCTGTTTTTCAAACTGGCCGAAAATCAGCTGTGAGGCGCAATGCAGATAAGGGGGCAGCGTGGGTGGGTGGGTATTGCACACGCATGCGTAGGGGGCATGGGGGGCATGCATTGCCTTCTGGGTGCTGGCACATGAGCGTGCCAGTGTGCGCACAATTTTTGCCACAGGAGTCCAAAAAGGTTAGCAACCACTGCCCTATGCAGTTTATCTGAGCTCCGGGAGCAAGCAATCTAAGATCCCCACAGGAGGTCTTGAATGCTTGCTGTCATAAACAAGTAGCCCAGCATTGTGGAACCTGCAGTATAATATATCTTCTCCAGTTTTGAATTTCATGGCCAGTAATTTATATATGTACTTTTATGCTGTTATTTTTTATATGTATTTTTGGAAATGCTTTTCCTGAAGAATGTTAAACAATTTCCTTTTACCATAAATTTGCCAGCAGTCTATAGCCATGTTACTCTTGGGAATGATATGTCATTGTATTGTTATCTTTCTATTTAAAAAGTGTTCTTCATTTAATGGTGGCTTGCACTCTAGAAGTAAATTTTATTTGTTCTTTGTTAGCTAACAGTATTTGCTAAATAAAAATCAAGTTAAAAATTTATCATGTTAAGGCTTTTTGTAATTATTTAGATTTAAAAAAAAATCTAATTAGGTATATGACATGCCATACAAATAAGCGGATTAAATTTTTTTCAAAATATATTCAAAATAAATACAATTGACAATTGTTAAAACTTGGATTCATGGCTTCCTTAGGAGATAGACTGACAATAAAGTCTGCAATACAATGTCAATTATACAGTGTCACAAAAATATGGTTTATCAGTTCTATATTCCATGAATTATGTTCCAGATATGGATATTTAAAAATTGTATTGTGTTATGCAATGCCCAATTGTATATATTATAAAGAAGCATCTGCCCATTCACTGCCATTCACTGCCTCTGGAAAAATCTCCGAGTTCACAGTGCAATTGTATATCTGCTCACTTGGAAATAACCCTTTTTTGAACACAATGAATGGTGTTTTGAGGGGAAACAAAGGATTGCATTGCTAGTTCCTAAATAAAAGTTCTTGATTAATGGCATTATATGACCTCTTAGCCTAACTTGAGGATAAAATAGAGAAAGGAAAAAATATTCTCCAAATTTGAGTTCCTAGAGATTGGATGGGATATAAATAAAATAAAAACAACAAAGAATACCAATTTAAAAACTTTCATTTTTCAGTTTCTGCCACCACCGAGAAGGGAAAAAAATGAATATAATTGTGAAGAGACCCATTTCCCTACTTCCTAACAAATCATATTGTACAAAGTCCTGAGGGCTTTGTGACAGGATGTTGTGGAGGGTTATGACCTTTGGTCAATAAGGAATCTACTTAGTTACAAACAGATATACTTTATTTGTTGTAGCAGCTGATTACTCTTTCTGTTTGTTCACGATATAATGAATTGGGAAATTTGGAACTTGTTCTGAATGAGTCACCAGCACTTGAGTTCAGGGCAAAAGACACTTTCATTTTTAAATAGAATAAAATAATCTACCTTGGTAATGTCTACATACAGATATTATATTCTAAAGGTTTAGTACCTATACTTCTCTTATTCTAAACATTCTGTCCAGTGTATCAACTGGGAGTATTAAATATTGCTTCTCCGCAATACATTGCAAAAGTGGCCTTTGCTAATAATTATTTAAATAATATGTGGGTGTTCCAAGTCTCACTCCAGAACAAAAAATTACATACAAAAAATTACAAACTACTTTCAACCCAAGGTTCTTCCAGACAAGAATACAGTTGCAACATTCACATCAACTCAGCCTTACTGAGCAACTGATGCAATCAGGACACTTTATTGCAATATGTCCTGGAATCTTCCTACTATAGTTGTGGGTTTTGATAAAAGGAGAACTCCTATTTTCATGCAGTAAGTCCCATTTCAATACTGGGAACTGTTGATAAGTTTGTCTTGTGTGAGAAAATCAACAGAGTTATTAAATGGGATGATTAATTTGCTTACTTCCCAGATCCTATTACTTCTACCCTGCTATAATGGAGACATGTTATAGCTGTAAGGAGATCCAAATACAGAACTATTATGTAAAGGTAAGCAGATGGAACTTTCCTAACTGTTCTAGGAACAATGGTGTACAAATTCCTTTAGCCTGACATCAAGCATTACATGGATTTCAAAAGTGGCTAAAGTCAGGATTTTAAAAGGCTACTTTTCCCCCCTTTTAGCTCCCCACCAATCTCCAGTCTAGATATCTACCCAGGCTTATTTTTTAAGGAGCTTGTTGAAGATTCTTGGATTGAGTTATGGCCCACTTTCTGATGACTGTAATTATTTGCTTGGTTCAGCTTTGGTTTCTCCTTTTAGAACAATACATACTCAATTTTCAGGTAATCATATTGCAAGGCAGTTTGACAAATCTCTGTGAATGTCTTTGTATTTGATTCCTTAGCATAGCATGCTACCTTCATTTTCTCTAGACAGAGTCAACCTATTCTCCAAAGCCATGAAGGTAAGACAAGAAATAATGGATGGAAACTAATCAAGGAGAGAAGCAATCTGGAATTAAGGAGAAACTTCCTAACAGTGAGGACAATTAACCAGTGGAACAGCTTGCCACCAGAAGTTGTGGGTGCTCCATCACTCTTTCAGAAGAGACTGGACCACCTGTCTGAAATGGTCGTAGGGTGGGGTGAGAGAAGACCTCTGAGGTCCCTTCCAACTCTTATTATTATTCTATTCTTTAGTTCAAGGCTACCATAATCTTTGGCACCTACTGAAATTTTAAACCTTTTATGGTTTGGCTTATGATCTCTTCCCTTTGGGTAGAATTGTGCAAAATTCACCAGTTTGAGAAGAATGACTGTCCTGGAGACCTGTAGGACGTTTCATTCCCTCTTCAGACTGCAAGGTGGGCCAACAGTTTCTGGAAGTACTTTGGATGGAAGCAATTTTAGATAAGCTGAACATAGTCCTGTCCCAAGCAGTTTGGTTGTGTCCAGAATACTAGTTTTTGGACAGTTTCAAAAAAAAATAAAAATCGAAGTTTTTATATGGTTAGGTTGCGGGTGAAATATAATATTCTTGAGATTTCTGGAATGCTCTGTGCCCAATTGATGAAGTTTGAACATTCCTGTGTTTGGATTTTATAAGAGCTCAAACTGTTCAAAACATTGTAAATGGATGGAAATGTGGCATATGGGTGCATGTATGCATTATGGTAAGAGAAAGGGGCACGCAAGACCTTAGTTTAGTTCAACCCCATTTTCCTTATCCTTTTCTATTGTGTCCATAGTAAGCTTGGGAGGATACATGGTTTCTAGGATGATTATTTCTCCCCTTTGCCCAGTTAGAAATTTAATAGTTATTTAAAGAAGAACTTGAGTAGATGAAAATACTTACGGTTCCCCCCCACTGTCATGAGCAAACACAGGGCGCTGTGGCTGAAATGAAATGAGTTGAAATGTAATAAGAGTATACACTGTAATCAATTAATTTAGCACAGTCTTCCATAATAGTCAGCTCACTAAGTGCTTCAATACATTCCCTGATTTAGGGGCTGCATTAAAAACAGGTTTTCTCAGCAGTAGGTAAGATATAGTTTGGAATATACACACCTATGTGGGGGAAACATGTATTGTACAGGCAGAGGTGGAATTCAAATTTTTTAACAATCAGTTCTGTGGTTGTGGCTTAGTTGGTGGACGTGGCTTGGTGGTCATGTTATTGGCTGGGCGTGGTATCACTCACATTGAGGAACGCATCTCCTTGCCTGGCCTCTCATGACTGTGGGGATGCTGCAACAGTTGTAAGTGTGAAAATGGTCATAAGTCACTTTTTTCAGTGCCATTGTAACTTTGAATGGTCACTCCACACAAGCAAAGTACCAGCAAAGGAGGGAAAAATAACTCCAGAGATGTTCCTGAGACAGGAAGTCTAGTCCTGCCAAGAACGTAATAAGGGTTAACGGAGAGGCAGTTTCTGTAAGCAACACCAGAATGTTTCCTTCCTGCCTTCCTTACAGGATTAGGCCAGTAATTTCTTCTAACAGTTCTCTGAACTGCTTAGAATGTTAACCGGTTCTAGCGAATAGGTGCGAACTGGTAGAATCCCACCCCTGTGTACCGGCCTATTTTAGCATAGAGCCATATTTTATTTGGTCTTATTAAGAAAAAAAATCTGGTTAAAAGCTGGGGATAAAGAAGAAGCCATTTCTCTAAGGACTTTTCCATTGTGCAAGCCTCTTTATCCTTTTCAGCCCAAATCTTGCCATGCCAATGAAAGCAGATAAGTTTTAGCTTCAGTGTTTTGAAACACCATTAGTGTCACAGAGATTACAACAGCATTAAATAAGCAAACAGCAGGAAAAAAACCAGCTTCGCTGCAATTCAAATGCTTTTCATCAACAAGGAGCAACTATTCCTGATGACTGGTCAGGAGGATAACATTCTTAGAGAAGTGTCCTCTTAGTGAGATTTTGCTGGCTGGCCTTGAGAGGTTTTGTGTATTTGCTTAAGGACTCCTTAAAAGGAGGCGAGAACAAAAGAACAACAGCTGTTTATCAAAAATATATGTGAGTAGGTTCTACCCATTTAGTCCTTAATCAAGGGACAACACATTCCTTGAAAAGTTATAGAAAATGGACCTTATTACTCAAAAGTTCAGTTAAGGATATATATAACATTTAAGATAAAGGTGGAAATTTGACAAATACAAATGTGAATTTATATTTTACGATCCATTTATTTCTCCTGCCCTATCTATTATTTAAGAGAATAGCCCTTGATATATATTTAGATGCCCTCTCTGAAGTTTCATTATAAATTAAGGTTACATAAGTGTCAATCCTACAAATTATTTCCAAAACCATTTTGGCACAATCAGAATTATGAACTTAATCAGTGTTGAAGATATGTGGATTTCAACTCCCAGAATTCCCCAGCCAGCATGGGAGTTGAAGTCCACACATCTTCAAGCTCTCAAGTAGACAAATACTGAACTAAACCATATACTATATTCTTGGTGGTTATTCAAAGTATGAATACATTATTGAGTCAAGTTGTGAATCACTATTTTCTGTATCTAATCAACTATGCAGACATGGATTGTGCAATTTCTAAAATTAATTCAAACTTCTGCTTACTGCTATAGGACACAATTTAGCTACTCTTTCAACATTGTTTTCATGTGGACAAAAGGAATGCTTAGAGAAAAACTAGATTCTTCCCAAATACGTTAATCCAGATTTATCAGAGAACATTGTAATCTCCTCTGATTTCCACTCAATAACATGTTCATACATTAACTGAAACTTGTTTTCAAAAGCCAACAGTTTTGATTTGTTCCATTATATAAAGTACAATGAAAATGCATGAGAACAATTCTTTAATTTTACTTTTTAAAATATAATTAGAAAATATGTTGCCAGAGAGAAAAAGAATGCAGCAGTTATTCTAGAATATTTTTCTATTAGCAGATATCTGGAGAAATTAGAAAGCAGTTTAAATGTTGCTTCAACATTTCTTGAATGGAAAATGCATGCAATGTTATTGCATGAGTTCAGAGATTGCAGACATCAGAAGTAACTCAAACTCCATTGATTTTGGAAGGATTCCTTTAAGGATTCCTGAATCTAAGTCTTATGCATTTGCCACTTGGTGCATGCTAGAGCCTAAGAATTTAACACATACGTTAAAACATTCTCCATATGCAAACATTAATGCAAACAAGTGAGTCAGTCAAACAAGCTTGAAAATAAGTTAACGATCAGAGGATGTTTATAAAAATGCATTACATTTTTAAAAAAATTAGTACATGCATGGAACTGTCTTGTGCCTATATTTCATGGCTAAAATACTGATTCTTTTGACTATGTTGTAGCACTATAGATTTGCATTCCAAAATGTGCTTTGGAATGCACAGGAGTGTGAATATAGACCATCTTACAGCAGCTATGCCTTTTCTTGTGACTGTTTACATGCGAGAACTAAAAGTAATCTCATGAAAGTTACAACAGGTTAGATTTATTTATGTTTCATGATTATCTAAGCCATTAGTTACATGCTAACATATATATTTATTTTAGAAGATGCTCAGATGAATTATGTTTAATCATTATAGAGTACATGAGAATATTTCTGTGACTACTAAGTATTATTTAAAGCCCCTAAAATATTTTAATAAGAAAGGTCCTGACACTTCCCCGTCAATGCTACTGACTGTCCCCAGATGAACGCTGTGGTGCCTAGTTCTATGATCTCCAAACTTGGCAACTTTAAGATTTGAAGTCCACAAGTCTTAAAGTTGCCAAGTTTGGGGACCCCTGTTCTATGATGATGACTAGGAGAATAAAGGATATTTTATTATATCTGACCCAAGCTCTTCAGAATGTTTTTCATATTTATTCTGATGGTTAGTTTCCCAGAAAGCTGCAAAGAAGGTAGTGCAACTATTGGAGCCCAGATATATAATCGATAGACATTAGGTTGCATCAGTTACATAATTTAATCAACGTTCGAGAATTGTTCTATCAAAAGTGCAATGGGGTAGTCAAAAGCAGAGAACAACAAGTAATCAACAATGGTTAATAGTTATGAATATAATTAAAAAGATTTAAGCCTTCATACCTGATGAAGTTGATGAGGAAGCCCTACTTAATATTAGCTTTACAGATGTGTATGTAGCTGTATATCCATTTAGTTGGATATTGTTATAACGCTCAGCAATTTTTAAAATCCATTCAATCAGCCTCAATCTGGAATTCATTTATAAATTTGAGCCACTATGACCCATTCAGGTCCCAAAGTTTCTTCTCATCCAAGAAACTTCTTCAGAACAATTCTGAAAAAGTGTTTTGGATGAAAAGGAAAACGTCTTCAAAGAAAAAAAGCAAGAAAGTCCAATTGTCTTTTGAAAAGCACCTTTAGGACAACCATGACCTGGATGATTGAGAATCTTCATAGGCAATGACCCATTCAAGTTGTTGATTACCAGAGTTGACATGAACATAACTGAACATGTTATGTTGTTTTATATAAATAACATTGTTTTCTTCTTCCTAATCCTTTCCATGAAAATCAAACAAACAAATCTTACTAGAGAAAATAGAAAATGGGATAGATTTAACATTTGGCTTTATATGTAAAATATGTAAATCATACTTTATCTATAATCAGACAGTCATGTTAATAAGACAAAACTGCAATTTGAGAAAGATATATGTTTTTAAGCATATGTGCATGGGAAAGCTAATGCAAATGACAACTCTAGAAAAAGCAATGCTATGAGAAAGCATGTTAACAAATCAACACAATACATGTTGCTATAGCAGCAAAATATTTTGAAAACAGGACCATGCAATTGAAAACAAAGAACAATAACTTAAACTTTATGGAACCCATGAAAGGTACAAAGGGGCTTTCTATGTAGTCACTGTTAACAGTATCATAAGTAAAACACTTTGAAACAAGAGGAGTTATTTACAAGGGTAGAAGTTAAATACAAATTTGAGTGGCTAAAGATGTGCTTTTTAAAAGGATGATTTAATGGACACATGTAATAGCTTTGCTTTAAATTTTATAAATGAACTTGAAAGTCAAGCACAAAGTACCATGGCTTTCACATTGTTACCACTCAAAACATTTTTAACAACAGAACAACAGAAAGAAAGACTATTAGAATTATTTGAACATGTGAATTCAAGATCCCATAATCAGTTCTAAAGACTTTATGCTAGGGGGAAACCTGATAATATCTAACAGGCCACGTCGTATCATACCCTATGTGAATAGCTGTGCCCTCTGACAGGTATGCCATAAGACCTCCTAGTCAAAGCAGGGCTACGAGGAGGTTTGCCGATGACAGAGATCTCTCTTTTTAAATCAGCCTAGAAAAACCATAAACACTAGTCAATTCATCTAAGCATCTAAATGATCAATCTCCTGCGGTTTCATTCTTGCAAGCTGGGAAATCATTTTTTTTCATTTCCAAAGCACACAAATGGCATGCAGAACTGTTAACCCACTATGACTGAAAATGACTGGTTATATCTTCTTTTTAAAAGAAAATCCTTAGCATCCCAAATTCATAAAGCCTATATAATTGGATTGCTTTTCAAATCTTTCAGATAGATTTGATCAGTTGAGCAGATACTGGAAAACAATCTAAGGCCAACCTACTGCTAACATTTCACAGCCCCCCAAAAATGTACAAGAAAGATATCAGTAAAAAACTAAGTATGTGCTTTACATATATACACATATATAGCCTTCAAGCTTATGAAATGTTAAAGCCAAGAGTGTTGCAGGTTTCATATTTTTGTGATCACTGAAAGAAAACTCAAAATATGAGTTGGTTTTGTATTAAAAAAAGGATATGTTTGGCTATTTCTTAATGGTACTGCAACAGTTCTTGCATGTATTACTATTAAATGCAGACAACAGGACTTTGGCTGCATTAACAGTTGGTCTCTAACTTTACAGTGGGCAGGTTTAAATAGTGGATTATTATTGCTACCTTCTACTACTTTGACTCTTTTGTCCATTTCATCTATATATTAATCTAGGATTGCTGTTCTTTCTCCCTCCCTCCCTCTCTCTGAAATACAGTAACATTAATCCAAGAAGAGACCATGTGAAGTTCTTTCCTAAGGTGAATGAACCAGAATAAAGTTTATTGTCTCTTCCACTTGCTTGTGCCTAGAGGGATTTCTAGATTGCTTTCCCTTTTATCTCAAGAGATATATGCTCCTGACAGTGGGAAGGATTGCATATTGTGATGTTGCTTCTAGGCTAGCATATTGAATTCACTTATTCTTGATTTCTGATGGCAAGACCAATTAGAGGGATAAATCTCAATAATGATAAGAAATGCACTTGCTATAGTATTAAAAGAAATGGATTTTAGAAAATGTACTTAATAATGTCTTCAGAATTTCAGTACCTTCAAAGTCTATACTGGCATTACTGGAAGACCTAGTATTAATGGGACTTATTAGGTAGCAGACTTGGCCATGAAAGTTGATAATTTTGTAGGTTTTTAAATTTTGTTTTTATTTAGCACATGGAATCTCAACAGGTCATGCGATCACCAATATACAATTTTAGTTTAAACAAAGCATCCGCAAATTCTCTCTCTCTCTCTCTCTGTGTGTATTTTAAACTACTAAAATTGAGATAAGAAATTGATTAGAATTGGGAAATGTTGCCAGATACTGTGTCCCAAAAATGGACCTGTGATAGTTCCAGTCTTATTTTAGTGAATATTGGATTGGTGCAAGGTAATTTCAATATATTTAAAACATTCATCTAAAACTTGATTGCATGCTTGCAGTATTAAATATTAGTTGCAAATCCAAATTTTAATAATAGGTTAACCTCCAGGCTTTCCATTTGTCAAGCAGTTGAGATGACGTGCAGTATTTCCATACTTTGCAGGCACTATTACCTTTAACTTGGATGATTTTTTCCCTTGTCTGTATGAGAGTTTGGAAAGGAGAGGGGGTGAATGGGTAGCAGTGGCCTTGGAAAACGTAGAAAGAGATTCAGGAAAAGATGCTTTGGCTGAATAAAATGGAGAACTAGAAGCAAGGCAGGAAGGAGAGGTAGAACGTGCTTTCATCTCATGGGGAAATGATGCTGGCTTAAACATTTAAAGAGAGACAATTGTAATTCTGTGGAACAGCTATTACAAAGGGAGTGATAAAAAAAACAAAGAATATACACCCCCATCAGTAAAAGGAAAGGTGGCCCTACCTGGCCCATCTGCTATGTATGTTGAGAAGATTTACTTAGTATAAGAGTGTATGAGTCAGATTATTTCTGGAACAAACATTGGATCCTCAGGCTAAACTTTCTTGAACAGCAGGTCCCACTCCCTTTTCTTGAGAATACAATGCTGCAAGATACTTTTTAGAAATAATTCATACCTATATACAACCTTCAGTGAGGTTATTATGTTCAGTTTATTGCAGTCGTAGACCAGTATTAGCAGACTGCTCTGCAAATGTATTTAAATATAATCTATTTTAGTAGATCATAAATGAAGTGTAAGATAAGGTTAAAGTACATTTACTATATAAAACAACCTAACCTGTGAGAGACCCCAATGCAGCCTATATTTGCAATTACATTAAAAAAGGAAACCCCAGACCTGCAATATAATCATATCATGCCCACAAAAGCATGATCATGGCTTATGAAAAAAACAGTCTGGAAGACCAATAATCCTAATCAAGAACAGCTGTGTTATTCTTGTTTCTGTTTTCCAAGCAAGGGTCTGGAGTGTATTCAGTCATAAAGATAGGCTGATAAAAAGAGCTGCAGAATTTATAACTTCCTAAATGAAACAGGAGCTACTGCAGGTCTCAGTAGAAAGCCTCATTTAGATGCTGCAAATTATACCAGTATTTGTGGTATAAAATCACAAGTCACAATATCTACTCTATGAAATCAAAACACTATTTAAAGAAGAAAAACAACATCCCATCTACACAAAACCTTAGATTTACTGCCAGCAACGGGAAGTTTATATGCCTTTGAGCCACTCCCCTTCTTTCATTCACCAATCAGGAGACAGGCTGAGTCACATACTTTCCCAAAGACTAAAATCTGGAGAGCATTATCCTCATTTTCTCCTGACTGTTCAAAGGGCTGTTTGATATTGCTGAGCAGCAGAAGTTATGACCATTTGATCTCCAACATTTAAGGAGCAATTTTCTTCCCAACTTGATGGAGCATAGCTAGGATAAAAGATGTGTCCAGGGAAATCTTGGTTATGGCAATCCTAATTAAACCATGGATATTTCCTATTTCTTATCATTTAAAATGTTCTCCTCGCTTTTTTAATGAGTTTGTGGGCAAACATTTTGCTGCATCCTGATGAAATTTGCTTAGAAACTCCAGGATTATGAACATGGCTTGGGAACTGGAGAGTAAATTGGGCATTTTCTTTATTATCCTTAATAGGCCTGGAATAATATGAATGATGCATTACTCAGCAAACTAATTGAGGCATTTAAGGGAGTTACTGAACTGTTTTTGGCTAGGAAGAGGGCCTATTTTACAATAGGAACCAACATGTTACCTAATTTATGTAACACGTAATTGGGTTTTAGTGCAGCATGTTTCTTTTTGTTATTTTTTTCTGTATTTATGTATATTCCATCTTTATAATTCTAATAAATAACTCAAGGTGGCAAATGTACTTTTCTATATGTCATGATTCCTATTCAAATAGGGCTCTTTATTTAAAATGAAAGTAATATATGCCCCCATAATAATATGTTAAATGCATCTTCTGGTTTGATGCAAATATCCTTCTAGGTGCTGCTTGTCATCCTTGGAAAGAGTCAAGGATTCTACATTGCTGGTAAAAGCCAGAGTTAATAGTAGGTATAGTAGTTGTTTTCAAAAAGTTAAGCAATTAACTCATCTCCAAAAAGAATTGAAGGAACGTTGTGTATTAGTATGCTTAAATTGTTCTTGAAAATTGCAAGATATAGTAGAAAGCCTCATGCCAAAACAAATACATTGAACAAAAACTGGACTAATGATGTAAGTACAATAAAACATTATTGTACAATGTTTAAATACCTCTTTAGTATCTGCTGAACTGTTGCCTTCAAAAGTTATCATAGGCTGTCTCTTATTTGCCATTGGTGACTCTAAATGGTCAAGGTCTGACACTTCCTCTATATGAAGTCTTGCTAATTCTTCAGGCATCTCAGGGGCACGTCTGTAGAAACTTAAATCTTTACTTTTTGACTGTTCCCCTTGCATGATTGACAGCAGCTCCTCACAGAGTTCCTCCTGTTTGCCAACCTCCTTTAGTGTTTTGGATAACAGGTCTTCTTTGGAGAGGGCAAGAGTATGGCCTGCTACGTTTTGCATTTCTGGAGCAGGGTTTGAGGGTTTTTTGTTTTCCTTGACGATGGGGATTTCTTTCATCCCTTTGAAATGGTTCCACTCAAACTTATGTCCTTGATCATGAAAACGGGTTGCTGGAGGAGGTGATATGCATGTAGATGAAGAAAATGGCTTGGATGAAGAGTCAGGGAACACATGGGAGGCCTTTGATGAGGGAACTGGAACAGTATGGCAGTGCTTTATTTGAGGAGTGACATTATCTGAGAGGTACTCTGTCTTCTCTAAACCTGTTAAAGGTAGAGAGCCAAATTCCTCTAAACCAGAAAGAAAGCTTTTAGGAAAAGGAGGAGGAGGAGGAGGAGGAGGGGAAGGTGTGCTTGAAGATGAAAAGCCAAGAGTCAGTGACAACCATTCATCAGTGATGGCCTGAAGATGCCTTTTATTAGAATCTGGATAAGAAGAGGATCTGTATCTGGGAGGAGGGGGTGGTGCTTTGGAATCCCACTTGAGAAATAAAGGGAAAGAACAGGAATTAAAACAAGGTGAAGAACTGGGCTCAAAAAGAATGCTTTTGTTAAAAAAAACCCCATCCTGTTAACTCTTTATGGGATATTACTCACTGAATGTACATTTCTGAATTTATTAGCATATCAATCAGGCAACAGAAAGCATAACTGGAAAGTGAAACTGTCAGGTTCTTGCCCAAGACTAAGTGTCACACATCAAGACAGATTTGAATCACCATGTTGCTCTCATGCCAGCCAGTGACTAATGGCCCAGATGTGATTACCCAAAATTTTCTTTCTGTAGCCTTATTGTTTTGAGAGGAGAGTGGTTCTACATAGCACAGAAATATGCAGTTCAGGTTGGGATACTTTGAGATTAATCAAAATTAATCCCAGGTGCTACAAGTGTTTAAGTTCTTCACCAACTGATAAAAGACCCTGCAATAACAGATTCAATAAAATTGTACATTGTGTTTATATTCCCTGCAGCTACCCAATCTATTTTTTTACTTTAAAAATAATAGCACTTCACACATTATTACATTTCCTTTAAAGGTACATAGGATCCAAATGCTAGTTAGTGCATATAATAGAAAATTATTTTAAACTCAAAACTGTTTTGAAAAATATAATTATTGGCTGAATAATATGGTTAAGCTGAAATATTGATTGAAGAGTTCTTCTGGTAAAATAAAAGTCCTTTTGTAAGCATGGAAGAGCTGGGATTCATACGTATATTGCATCAGTAGATATCCATTGCTTCAATAAATACTGAAAATGTAGTTTTTGTTATTAATTTTCCAAGTTAAACCCTCATTTGAAATAAAAAGTTTGACATTTGTCTTAGAAAGGCTAATAGTAACATTTATATTATATATAGAATTTAGGTACCAGGGAGAACATATATATTTTGAATTAATTGCACAGGAAATCTAAAGTTATGATTTAGTCCTTAAAATAGAATTTAAATAATATAGAATGGATCTCAGCTGTCACTAAGAAACACAAACAAAAGAAATACTTTTGTAAATGTTAAAAATATTCTTATGAACATGGTGTTAATTAGCACTAATTTTAAGTCAAATAGATTTAATATGGACAATGACAGTCGTGGTTCCATTTCTGCAAACAGCACAAAAAGCTGAGCAAAATTTGAAGATTATCCTCTTTTGTATTCAGTCATTTGAAATAGAAAGAACAATTTTAAATAGAAAGAACAATTTTAAATAGAAAGAACAATTTTAAAAAGAAATCTTCAGCCCACAATCACTAATAGATATAAAAATACAGTATTATTAAATTATATAATATGCTATAAATACAATTTTACCACATTTAAATATTTTACTATAAAGTTATCTGTTTTGTACATCATGTCCATCTCTGGCATTATGCATTGTGCTTGTTTAGCAAGAAGTGGAGGTCAGAGATAGGGAAAACTGAAAAGCTACATTATGTTTCCATGAAGATTTGAAATCAAACAGTACTACATTCATTATTGGGTATCAATAGGCAGATATACACTAACTTCCTTAGTAAAGTGCCAATTAAAATCTGATGGCTTGCTGTTGATCCCCAATACTAGAAAAATCCATGAGAAAAGTATATGTTGTATTTGCATGATTTTAATAACCACATGTTTCTGCAATAACAAAAGTATTTTGCATTAGTTACTGTTACAATGCCAATTCTAGTTTGAGTTACACCTTTTTACTGAGAAATTTTATGGAAGTGAAAGGTAGTGCTGGAAAATTGCATAGTTGGACCAGGAATCTCTCAAGTCTCCCCTCCTTTCACAACTCAAGAATAAAAGCATTTGCTGAAGATCCAGTATTAACTTAATGTTTTTTTCCTTGGAGAATCCTAAAGCAATTATAATTCACATTCATTATTATAATTTCCTTTGTCTGAAAACTATTCTCTTCTCATCCAAGTTGAACAATGATAAAAGATACAGGTGCCCTATGTACATGAAACCATGCAGGCAAAACAAGTTCATGTAGTAATTTATAATGGGATGCTACTTGCTGCAGGTTGTTGGCTGGCAGCCTTATTTAAGCTGGTGAATCCTCTTTTAGAGAAAAATAAACAAGAAGATATCCTGCCTGGGCACTGTAGCCATTTTACATCGCATATTCCCAACATTCAGATTCACTATGGTTTTTGACTCTGATGAGTAGCCTGATATTCTGTAGATATTCTGAGCACTGTATAGCTCCCTTATCTGGGCTTCCTCTTGGCTTCCTTTGAGGAAGTGGAAAGAGTGCTCTTTGGTATGACCTCAGACATATGAGGGCTTAGTCTATGCCCTTCCTGGTTCAATATAGGACTGGGTGAGTGTACGATGACCTGGTTGTGGGAGATTATCTATCTTATGCTTCTCCTTAATAGATCCTCCCTGGATCCAGAAGTGTTTGACAACTATTATCTAGTCTTCAGTTTTCTCTTCTGGTAATGATGTAAAGAGCACATTGGGATGCAACCAGAGACAATCTAGAGAAAGTAGATGATCTGAAACCTTTTCAATTATTTACACATGGGCATGGGATGGAGAAAACATTAGCTTTTGTAGTCAGATAGCATTTTTCAGGATCTTGGTGTAGGAAGAGTGATCCATAGGTCTTACTTAACTTCCCAATAGCTTTTGTTACTATCAAGCATGATATCCCAGACTGCAAGTTTTGGGGATCAGGGGCTTTTTTCCGCAATATTTGCATTCCTGCTTCAGCGGGCAATTCCCTTCAATGGCAGTGGATGAGGCTAGGTTGGCCCATATGCTCCCCCCCCCTTTTTGGGGTACTGCAAGGCCAGTCCTTTCCTCTTCCTCACAAATGAAGCTGCTCTGGAAAAATTGTTTCACAGTTGGGATGTGATATGAACAGGCTGATGACACTTAACTTTATACTGCCATTGCAGGCCCAGCTGAAGTTGCTACTAAAATCCCATTCAAATATCTGGAGATTGATGGAGTATGGATGGGACAAAACAGGTTAAAGCTGAGCCCTAATAAAATGGCATTATTGGATGTTCAAGACATTTCTAGCTAGTGAGGAATTCTAAGAAGGCCTGACCGTTCATGCCATAATCACCATGCAAATGGAGTGCAAGGTGCTCTCTACCTTGGGCTTCTCTTAAAACTCCTCAAAAACTGCAGCAGGTAAAAAATGTACTGTGTGGTTGGCAATACCCAGTATGATGATAGAGAATATAGTCCTGTTCAGGATACTACATAGTGTATATTACACTACAGTGGAATTCAAAGAACTAGTTCTGATTTGTAAATCCCTACAAAGCTTGGCCCCTGTGTACTTTAAGTACTGCCGAGTTTGGCTGGCTAGGGAATCCTAGAAATTCACAAATCTTCAAGTTGCCAAGGCTGAACACCCCTGCTCTAAAGGTTCATTGGTCCTGCCCTACTACAGTCTTTTAGCACATCCAGAAAGCCTTTAGGGAATGGCTGTTAGCCATATTTATTCAGATATTATATATTTACTTATTTTGAAAATAAAATCATATGGCCTTTATGGACACTAATTTTAGTTAGCTAATGGAAGAATATACAAATAATAACGCAAAATTAAAATTTGTGACCCTCACCAATGTCATTATAGTATCCTCTCAAGCAAACAAACAAACAAACAAGCAGCCCCCTCATTTTTAAAATGCTGGCCTCATTTCCCATCCTAGCTCAATTCATCTCCTGAGGGAAAGGGCATTTTCAGGGTCCTCCGGAAGCTAAACGGTTCGGGACCCTTCTGCATCTCAGGAGCATTGGTGCTACTATGGAAAAGGCTTACTTCCTAGGTTCCGACAGATTACAATATTTAGTAGAGACCTGGAAAGAGCCCATCCTATCTGGTCTAGACGGATGAGTAGATATCCTCAGGAAGAGTTAGTCCTACAAATAACCTGGCTTCATGCCATCCAAAACTTTAAATGTAATAATCAGCATCTCAAATTGCTCTTGGAAATAAACTGTAAGCCAGAGCAACCCATACACCATCAATGTACCACAGACAAAAATGCAGGACTGCACACAGCACAACATTCTGGACCAGTTGAAGTTTCTGGGTGGACATCAAGGGCAGCCCCTTGTAAAGTGCATTGCAGTACTCCACATGGGAAGTGTTTAGGGCATGAATGACTCATATGTAGGGACTTCTGGTCCAGGAATAGGTGCAATTGGTTCACAAGTGTGATTGGTACAAAGGCTGCAACTTGTGCACCAACTCTTATTTATTATAAGAGATTATATTATTGATTTGTTCTTGTGGTGTATGGTACTGTGTTACTCTTATTTACTATGTCAAATGTTATTTTGTTCAGCACATTATCATAAATTATGTGATGTAGATTTGGAGACACAAACATTTGGTAAATAAATTGCAATAAATAATATGTATTCAAAATTGCCATATCCTAATTACAATAGTTAATGGTCCTTTAAAGAACTGGTTTAAGAGAAATGGTTTCCACCATTAATTTAAGGCTATCCTCATCTGCCATAGATGAATGTGTATGTATGTGTATATTGTGTGTGTTTTTTCTGATAAGAAATTGGCTCAGGTTCAAAAAGTTAAAAAGAATAAATGTGCCGTTTGCATTGTATAAATAATGCAGAAGGTCATTGAATCAAGTAAATCTGCATGAAATAGTATCAAACTGGGCTTCCATATGCTTTTCATGAGCTTAAACTGTGCAAACACATTATTTTTATTTTAAAATGCAAAAATACAAGAACACCATAAAAAACCCAAGGTAACCCAAGAGAGGAAAAACAGTGCAATCTCACCTTAGCTGAATGGTGGATTTTGTCACTCGAGTAACTCTGGGGTATCGGAGGAACAGGATATTCATTTTCTCCTCTGGCCATGCTCTTTTTGACTTCTACATAGGATACTGGGAAGATTCCTTGCTTATTTGTTCCCAGTAGCTTGCCTTCATACCAGTTTTGATCAACCCGTCTAAGAAGAATGACTTTGTCTCCCTGAAAGGCAACACTCAATAGATGAAAAATTGTTGTCCCATCATTAATGCATACAATATATAGTGATGGAATACACATTCCTTAATTGTGATGGACTATTAATGAAAGTGAATAGTTAAGAAAAGTCAAGAAGTCCCAAGGTCAAAATGCTTCTCATACAGCTTCAGACCTTAAAGTTACTTGAGGCACCGTTCATAGAATCAGCAGTTGTCTAAATGAATTTTTGAATGGAAAGACGAATTGTGTGGCTCTTAGTGCATGCCATGATCCTAATCTGCCAGTTAAGAATGGAAATTCCTCTTCCAATGAAATGGTAGTGAGACAAACATAGAAAGCTACAATAATTGTCTAATGCTAGTCCTACCTAGGGACAATATATGGGAAAGGGAGGGTTCAAAGATTGCATTTGCTTTTCAAAATGTTTGTGCTGATCAAGGAAATTTACCAAGAGTTTTCTTCCTTTATAGCACATTGTCCAAGAAATCTCTTTATTGACCTCTGAAACATGCCCCTTAGCACAGACCTCTGCAAGAGAGATTTTTACACAATAACATGGCAATTCAGGTTATGAGGAAGAAGCCTCTTTTGAAGACCCACTCGGGAGGACACAGAGCATAATAAAAGCAAAGAGATTTCTGTTAGCTCTAGGAGGGAGAAACGTCTTTGTAAAGACCTCATTCTGCTGACAATGTATGGGGCCCTTTAAAAACAACTATTTTTAAGGAAAGTACTAAGAGCCTTCTTGATCTCATTTTAAAAAGTAAGAGCTGGCCACTTTTTCTATGGATCTTTAAAATACAATACTATAAAATAAATAAAATACTATAAAATAGTCCTTGCTTAATGACCCTAATTTGAACCAGCAACTCCATTACCAAATGAAGCAGTAAATCAGCAAAACATCAAGTGGCTAACTCATTTAGCAATGGTTTCATTTGTTAAGTGAATCACCTAAGGTCATTAAGCAAGACATCATGGGACTGCAACTTGTCATCTCTTGCCAGCTTCCCCATTGACTTTGCTTGTCAGAAGCCAGCTCAGAAGGTCTCAAATGGCAATCATGTGACCACAGGGATGCTGCAACAATCATAGGTGTGAAAACTAGTTATAAATAACTTTTTTCAGCGCTGCCATCACTTTGAACAGGTGCTAAACAAATGGTTGTTAAGCAAATAATCACCTGTATGTAAGAAGCCCCTTAAAAGCACTGGACCAGAAAGAGGCCTTCTCAAAGTAGATTGTAGGATACAGCAAGATTTGATATTGCATGTACTGTATATGGAAAGAAATAAGCTTTAATTCTTTCCCCCAGATACAGTTTTGAGTCAGATTTGTTAGGTATAACATTGATACCAAATATGGTTTGGGTGAATAAATAT